AACAAGATCCAGAAAGTCTCAAAACGTGACGTGATGAGGAGGTAATTTGGCCCATCTAGTTAATTTAGTTTACAGTAAATTACCAAAGGATCTCATCCAGGGATTGGTTTCAAGGACTTGGCAGAGTAGACCACCCTGCTAAAAAAACATTTCTGAAACTACCAGCAGTGAAAATATGGATCTGGTTCAGCATATTATTATTATTTTAAGATCCGGGCAAAAAGTGATCTAGGGTACTTCGCACTGCTTCTAATGTACTTGTACAGATCACTTGGTCACCGATGCCTCATGTTGAGTGACTGATCCCTTCATTTTCCGTAATCACTTAAACCCAACGAGAGTGTGGCGAGCAGGTGCCAGATCAGGCAGGCACAGGGGATAAAGTGGGATTGCGTCTTGGAAGGACAGGGCACACAGATCCCAAGGTATTTATCTGGTCTATGTGGAGAAACCAGGCACGGACAAGGAAAAGTAGATCAGTTGGGTAGCTGCGTCAGAATGCGTAGGCTCCAAGGAACAAGTAATAGGTTTATTCCATGCTGAAAAGAGAAAAAAGAAAACAACAGCCTTCTTCAGGTGTGAGCAAGTGTGGAGCCCTCACACCTGAAGAAGGCTGTTGTTTTCTTTCTTCTCTTTTCAGCATGGAATAAACCTATTACTCGTCCCATGGACAAGGATAGACTTGCTGACGCCACTGTGAGGCACTTGCACAAATTACCACCATTGCTAGGTGGACCAATGTGGACAACAACAACATATATATAGTGTTTTATTCAAATTGTTGACTGTTACTGTAGGGTTCCACAGTGCAAGGAAAAAAAAACAGTCAACGCTATGGAACTAGCTATAACAGCCGTTCAACAATGATCCAAGGATGAATCACCGCATACAAAATTACAAATTCTCCTCCACTTAAAATCGAGAAGAATACCTCTCAGCATGCCTGTTCCACACACTTACTGAACAGTAACTCAAAACCAATCACTGAATGTCCTCATAAATGCTTGTTACAATAGACAATCATGTCAGGGGCACAAAATGATTTCTGAGGACTCCAGAAATCCCTTGCACCTGCTGGACTTTCTCACTGTGCACTTCCCCACAGTGTCTGGCTTTTGTACTACACACATACAGCACATTTCACAGCATCTTTGAACAAAATGCTGATCGAACCCATTCCAAAAAACAGTGAGAGTACAATGTATAATTGGTCTTGGGTTAAGCTATCTTTAACATCCTTTGCTCCCATGGCTGGTGTGTCACTTGTCCTTCCCAAAAGCCTATCTGCCATCTGAACATGCTTCACTATCCTTGCAAACAAAGGAAGTATCTTGCTCGTTGTGCTGCGTTATAAAAAGGACACACATGAGTAATAATATTGTGACACACCCAGGGGTAGCTTGCCATAACAGTATATTTAAAATAGGCAGAAGAAAACAGACTCACACTGTGGTAAGGTAAAAACAACCAGTGCTCTTTATTCTACAGTTCAAGGGGAAAAAAAACCCTCAAATGACCATACGTGGCATTCAGTGTGGGAATAACACAAACCCACAAAACAACAGTCCAGCTCTTATTTAAGCTCCAGCTAAACTTCTTCTGTCCCTTTCCTGTACAGGCGGGGAGCAGACCTGTTCATTAGCTCCAAAACAAATCTCCCTCAGAGATTCTTTCAAAAACAAACACTTCCAACTCACATTTCACACTTCGAAGAAGGCTCAACGGCTAAAATGCTGCATTTCTTACTTCTCCTTTTCAGAGCATAATTAACCCCGACTGCAAAAGAACACGCAAAAGCACCCCGGTGCAGCTCCCCAACAACTTCAGACTCAAAATCCTGACTCATAAGTCCCAGGCTTCACTATCACATGGCTGGTTGCTTCCCATTCTCTGTGGCGCAGGTGCATAGCAGAGGATCTGCTGTCTGAGAGGAGAGCGCTGACCACAGGCATACTGACCACCGGAAGCCTCTGATTCCCATTTTTTAAATCATCATCTGACCAATTGTCTTAATCCAACTGGTCAGGTGACTATGGGCAGCAGGTCATCACCCACTGCTTTCTGGGGAACGTAGTTCAGACAAGAGCTGCCATCTTATCGCTTGATAAACAACTACACCCTCAAGAATATCCAGCCTCCACATTTTATTCTGAAAAAAGGACTATGTCATTCTTTAAAAATGTTCTCACACGCTATATTATAGGGAGCTTTTTTACTCACCATAATAGCACTGAATCGTCTACTGGCTGACATTTAAATTTAACCATGAAATTAGTGTTTGGCTCATTCAATAAGGCATTGCAAAGGCTATGGCTCAGCGATAGCTGCCAAATGTCTTGGTATGTTGCAAGAAAAGTTATGATGTTTGTCTTTATCTAGAACCTATTTCGATGGATACCAGCCCATATTTAAAAAATGACCACACAGCCACTGTACCCAGACTGCAGGCTTCTCTGTAACCACCAAGTACTTCCTATAATTCACTGATTACTTTGCTGTGAGGTGTTGGGTAAACCTACAAGTAACTAATGTAAAGGATTACACAGTAACTACACCCTAGTAAAAGGTATAGCTGCAAGTAACCGATCATAAGTTTTCAAAAGTAACTGCCTACACATTTGAGTAATTACACATCTATTCCATCTGTTAGTGTACGACAATTCACCAATTTAAACAGAAAAAGGAGACTGGGGTTGATGCTGTGATGGAGTTATCTGCTCCATTCACTTCCATCTGCTAAATATTAAACGAAAAATGGTCAAGAAATTATTTTGGGCCACCTTTAATGGGGGAGACTGGCCTCCAGCGGCATCCTGTCATTCTTGGTTTCAGATGTCCCTTCTGGAGAGTGACAGACCCGGCAGCTGCAGCCACCTTGTCTTCACAAGAATCACTAGCATGTTGTAGGAATCCTACCCTGATCCCACAGCATGCTCTGTGCACTTCAAACCAGACAACACCGAGACCTACACTGTACCCAACACATCTGTGTGTAACCCGACAAATGGCAAATCCACAGAGAACTCTTTCCCCACTTAATGAATATTTATAAAAATGATGCTTCAAAAAATCGTTCAGGAGTTGCAGTGGGGTGTATAGTACCTGATCACATCTGTAGCACAACCACCATAGAACAGTTACAGCACTGCAAGGTTTGGAGACAACCAGACGGAGTCTTCCAACAACCCCCCAAAACAAATTATTGATATATAAACTGACAAATAATTCCATTGAGTCATAAAATGTCAAGTGAGTGCTGCCGACAGGCAGATTCCTTAGTATGAAATACCCACTTCAGCACAGTAATGCAAGTCCGTAACATTCTCTACAGCAGACTTAATCATTTGCTGACGCAGAGACCAGACAAAACTATTACAGAGTGGATGGATATTAACCCCTTACTAGGCGTCTTTTGACATCCTAACAATCTTCAGGTAAGGCAGAGGACTTTGTGAACACATAGGGAAATTACAATTGCTGATCGAACAAACACACAAGGTTTAAATAAATGCGACCCTTTGATTCGGTAAAATAGGAATGCAGGTATCGTTCCTTGACTACGTTGTAACAAAACGCCGTATTTATGTACGAATGCGATAGATGTTAATGTTAAATCGCGTTGCATTATGTAAAATACCTGCATAACCGAATACAATACCACTGAAGAAACGATGCAATCTTTACTTTTGACAGGTCAAGATCGTTTCGGTGCCAATGCACCACAAGCCAAATAAGCATCTACGCTAAAAAAAAAAAAACTCCGATGTTCAAGAAATCTTGAAAAATCTTTCACAGAAGTCACACAAGCGATTGTACGTGGACACTAATAACCCCGCATATTTATTAATAATTATCCTTTAGTAAAGGTTGTACTGAAAAATAGTATATACGAGAACAATTTGAAGAGTTATTCTCGTCAGGAGCGGAGAAAGATTTTCATTTCCACACCGAATAAAGCCGCCTAGTTCATTATTTTACTATCTTTATGACTTAATTGTTAACTGTAACGTTTGCAGTTGTTTTGAACAGTACCTGGCTGCCTAGATAAGATAAAAAGAAGTGATATTACTTCGAGTCGATGAAGACAACCGCTCTCGGGTTTCCGATTTGTGCCATCATGTTGGGGAAAAGGGAAAAAAAGAACATTCTTTCGCTTCCCAAAAACACAGTTAGGGATGCTTAAAATCAGTGCAGTCAATACAGCACAGGATGAGACACTTCACATCATTAAGCAATTGTTTTTCTTCACATGCATTTACACAGACTGTCGATCTTTCAAGGTTCCGCGTTATTAATACATTTTAATATTTGTGCTGCACGTTTTTCCCCATTTTAAAGAAACTGAAATGTTGCAAGCAGGGGCATCACTGGGAGTATTTCTTTATGCCAGCGGCTCACGGCATCTTTAACGAAATTAGATCACACTTGCACGAATTAGAAAAGGTCATTTATTGTCAACCACGATCTTTCGGGTGAATGGACGACAGCCCTGATCTTGTGACCTGCAAGAATTGACTGCATTTCTTAAAAGACGAAACGATAACCAATGAAACTTTCAAGAGAGGATGAATATGCAGCTGCCGTTCACATTACTACGCGTGTTTTCTGCTAGCATTCACAACAAAGAAATTTTTTTTTCGCCAGCGTTGAAAACTGCCCGCTTGTTAATAATTATTTCATGGTTTCCGCTAATTTATTCAACACCTGTCCCCGGTAGCTTTATTATAATGAGCCGCGCGTCCAATAATTAATAAAGGCAATAACAAAAATACCTACCACGCGCTGTGGGCAACAAAAGCAAGTGAGATCTATTATACACAGAAGACAATAATGTGAATGTGTCCCCCAAACACAAAAAAAGAACACATGCACCAAAAACCAAATGGGAACAGTGCATCAGTACACACAATTCGACGTGGGGGGGGGAAAAATGCACTACGATTTATTAGCCACATGAACCCACTTTTCCGATTGATAAGCAGTAATGAAACCCGCCGTACCTGTGATTCTTGTTACTTTCTCGCCATGACCGTAATTTTGCAAGCCCAGCTAGCCGCCCGCTCCGCGCTGCCGAGTTCGCAGTCCCACTCCACTCTGTTGTCATGCGATAACAATCCTGCCTGGATAACAACGGCGGGGCGACGCACAACCGCCCGGTACCGCAGGGAGCTCACGGGAACGCCACGGTATAAAATAACACACATTGCGTATTTGTCAAACCCTTCGCGGAGAAGTTATTAAAATTGTCCCTACGATAAAACGATATCTGCGCAGCTTGAAGTCTTTCTGCAAACTTTTGAACATACTTAACATTACAGCAAAGGTAACCCCTCCTCGTTTCCGAGGTGGTACCAACCACTTTTCATTGTTGAAGCTCAATTTTGTGCAACCGAACATAATAAGGAGGCAACCGAACCACACATTTGGAAGGCGGCCGTGATTCGCCTGTTTTATATAACCGCGCCCACTTCGATAAAGTGTCCAATCCAAAGTAAAAGAGGCAGGTCTAGAGGTCTCAGTCTACTTTCTTAGTTAAATTGCTGCTTACATAGCGCTGCTCGCCCCTTATTAATCTCTTGTTTTTTTTTCTGCTGTCTCTTAAAGTTGTCCGGTCGAAGGTATAAGCTTCCACTAAGTATATAAAACCACAACGAACCCATGTTTGTTTTTTTAACTGTCACCTACTTTCTCAAAAATAATATAATATAACGCGTTAGAAATCTAAACAGTTCTTCTAATGAAATGCACGTTCGTGCATTTTAAAGTGGCAACAGTCAGATGCAAAGTAAAAATGCATATTCTCATGAAATAATGTGCGCAACACATTTAAATATAGCTTTACTTCGTAAACTGCTTAGCTCATAATCTTTATTTAAAAGAATAATACTTTTAAATATTTTATATTTAAAGTAAGCTAATTATAGAATAGGTGAAAAATGTTATGTTTTGCTTATTTTATTTTTCGCTATTTAAACTTATATTACAAGTTTCTTAGAATAAAACGTACCAGCCAATGGGGCTTAAGAAACTATAGATGTCCTTTAAGGTACATATATGAAACTGAAAATACTTCACCTCAGTGTTTATTTTTTATGTTACTGATGTGTGATGTAAAAGAAATGTTAAAACTCGCTGACTGTGTTCAATTGTCTTTCGTTGTGTATTTCGCTCCACTCTTAACTGGCAGTACCCGTATTTCACTTATAGTTCTCTGTCAGGACCTGACTGCCGGATATTTACACCGAGTACAAGATGTCGGCGGCGATCTCATCCCTCGTTTCTTACGGCTCCGATTCTGATTCTGATTCGGAAAAGGAGAGCAAAACGAGCCCCGACCGGAATGACCCTGACGCTACTGTTCACCTCCATCCGTTGGGTCCTGGGAAAACATCGATACAGGTTCTGAATTCGGCCCCGGAGGTCGCAGTCAAGGTGAGGGAAAGGCGGCACTAGTATCTCTCAGTTGCGGCGGATTGACTCCCCGACTGATGCGGCAAACGGCGGTTGTAGAAAGTTTGGAAAGGGCAGCAGGTACTGGCATTTGAGCAAGTGGCAACTTTCAGTGCAGTGTTTAGCCTTGCGTACTCGTGTGATACAAGCGCACACTGACGATCTTGCCATAGGAGGTTGCGGTGAGGATGGCAGGACCAGGCCTTTACTCAGATCAGATTATGCTTCAGCGTTTTTCTTAACAACAGACGTTCACTTTCAAGAGGTTCACTAATAGCTTTTGTTAGAGTCACAGAATGGAGACTCCGATATGTGATGGGGGCCTGCTTAGCTTAGAGCGCCACTTTTCTGTCCTAGACGTTTTCTTTCTTCTTTGTACATGCTGATAATCACAGATATTCTGAGAAGGTTCTTCAGTAACAGTCTTAATTAATGTCATGAGAAACGTCTTTATTATGTTAAAAATTGATTTTTGGAGCGCTTATTTTCTTTGTGAGGCATTAATACAGTATGAATACAGTTCATGCTGTCTCGCACATCTCCTTTTAGATGTTCCCCTTAGCGGATAGAGACGAACATGAGTAACTTTGAGTTGTGTTTTTCTTAGGAAGATGTGGAGACGGGGTCTCACTTGGATCCTTCCCTCAAGGAGGTCACTTACAACCCTACATATGACACCATGTTTGCACCGGAGGTGAGATCTAATTGAATTTCAAATTAAATTGCAATGAAATCTCAGAACTGGTGTCCTAACATTGTCCTAGCTGTGGCTGTTTGTGCAAGGTAACAGTATACCAATGTATAATGCCTTAATTTTGGAATTCATTTTGGTTCTACTTTTGCAAGAGGAATCTGAGAAAAAGTCTCTGTGCATCTCTGACAACTTTCCTCCTTTGTTTAAAGACCTTAGATTTCAAACAAAGATGGATTGCTTAAAATGCGTGGATTATAATCATGTTTTTTTTTTCTAAGATTTATTTTGTTCTGTTTTTAACTGCAGTTTGGTCCGGTGAATCCATTTAAAACCCAGCAGATGTTGGCCCCCAGGAACATGTTGTCTGGCTATGCAGAGCCTGCCCACGTCAACGATTTCATGTTTGAGCAGCAAAGAAGGACTTTCTCCACATTTGGTAAGCTCTGGATGTGGCCAGTAGAAATGTGGAACAATGGAAATCACGTCTGTGATGAATGGTACATCATCTCAACACAAAGTATATAGTACAGTCTGCAGCATTCCATTGTTTATTTTTAGAGACTGCAGAAATTGAAAGGAAATGGCACTTCCTAAGAGGGTTATCCATCCACCCATTCTCTAACGGCTTCATTCGTTGAGGGTCATGTGGGAGCTGGAGCCAATCCCAGCTAGCAACCGGCGTTGGGCAGGATACACCCTGGACAGGAAGCTAGTCCGTTATAGGGCGCTCACAGACACTCACACACTCACACTGGTACCAGTTTTGCCAGAAACCAGTGATCCTACCAGTATGTCTTTGGACTGTGGGAGGAAACCTACATGAATATGGAAAGTTCAAGCAGTTAGGAGGCCAGGAGTTGAACTCGGGGCCTCAGTGCTGCAAGGCAGCAATGCTAAGCACTGTAATATGGTAACATTGTCCCCCCCACCCCGTGAATTATATTGTATGTTAAAACAGCACAGGGTAAAACATTAAATATTAGAGCAAAATGGGGAAAATAAAAAAATAAACTGCAAATGGTCTTTGCTGCTGCACTTGCAGACTAAGGGCTGGGTGATGGCTTTTTCTTGTCTCTTTTTCTAAGCATATAATTGATATAATTGATGTGAAATCCTTCAAGCTGAAATTCTCAAAAATGCGTGAAACTAGAAATCCAATCTTTTAATACAAAGTGGCAAATATTTGCAAACACCCGGCATGCATGCATGAGCTCACATCCAGAGAAACAAATTATTGATCTTCTTTTTTTTGTCCGTTTCTTAAAAACATCTGGTACAGTGCTAAGCTACTAAAATGGAACTTTGTGATTGTAAAATACAAAAGTATTTAGTAATATGAAATGAAAATGTTTTAGCTTACAATTATAGGAGAGATCCTTTAATTACTTTTTTCCTGAGCTGTATTTGGGAGGACTATTATCTAGCAGTGCTGTAGCCTTTGGTAAAGTACATACATTGTTCCAGTAACAAACCCCAGCTCTGTAACTGCATGTTAGCTGTCTTGAATAAAACCTTTAGCCAAATAAGTTAATAACAGTCATAAAAACCTGGCATGTTATTTACATTTAAGACACGAGTTGCATAGCAGTTTGACCCATTTAGGGTTTTAGGGGCTACAGCAAGTACTCGATATTGGCTATATCTGACTAAATTTGTGTAGGCAGACATCACATGAAAATAAATGTTTTACATGTATAAGCACGTGTTCCTGAAGTTAATTTTCTGTTTATGCATATAAAGGGGTAAAAATTTGTTGTTTCTAAGACATAGTGTTCTGTTGCGCAGTGATGATTAGTTTTCCTTCAAGAACATTAGCCATGATCAATGAAGATGACTGTGCTTATTAGAGTAGAAAATTGCTTCAGATATTGCACATCACTTTTGATTTCTTTGTTTCCTTGAAGTAATGTTTGTACCAAATCCAACAAAAAAAAATAAGTAACATTAAATGGGGCTTTTAATGTGTATCACGTTGATATCTTAAATGACCACAATAGCATGATTGTAAAGGCCCAACTATAATGAAAGGGAAGAAATAGAAGGGCTTGGGTTGCTGTGTAGGTTCTCATGGTGTTCAGAGGCGAAAAGCTGATGTCCCATCTTTGCTGTTTCTTTCTCAGGGTATGCTCTGGACCCATCAGTGGACAGCAGTCAAGTCACAGGCAGCAGCTTCATCGGAGCTGTGGAGGAGGCTGAAAAGAACAAAGGTGTGTAATCAGGCCAAGTGGTTTCATGACAGCAAACTTGATTGGTCGTCAGGCGTGTTGGCCTGTTAAAACAAGAATGTGGTAGGTAGCGTGTTTGCAGCACTGTTCTAGAATTCGGAAAGGACGCTTTACTTGTTGAAGTTACCCGAGCCAAATCTAAGTGATCGCGTGCAGATTTGCCTTTTCCGCCTGTTTCAGCAGTGCATATTCCAGTCGTCCCTGAGACATGGAATTACCATTTAATGTAATCTAAGACTAAGACTAAAATGTAAAGGATAAAATCCACCTACATTTCCTAATGGCACCATCAAGGATATAATCTTCAAACTGGATGAGCTGACCCTGTTTTAGTTGGAGCAAAAATGTTCAGAACTCTCAGAACGTTTTGTTTTATTCAGCCGTGTGTTTCCTTTTGTCAAACATATCTGGAGTTAGTTTTTCTTAAGAGTTTTTTCTAGTGTATGGGCAAAGAACTCAAGGATCATATTTGCCGCTGTTAATGGTAAAAAAAGAGAAAGCTTAGTTAATTATTTTTGTCAGAATATACCACATACCACATATGTCACAAATCTCTGAGCTGAAGTCCCGATTCATTACATACGGCAATAACCTGAATGTTTGTGTGTGCCTTGTACAGAGCACTAGAAACGTCTCTGACTTTGGACATGCCAGTGTCAAAGCAGTTCCTTTGAGGGATATTAATGCAGGGACATGGGGTCCCTGTACTGTTTGTGGAATGTGTTTGTCGAGTTGAATCCAAAGAGATCTGCAGTAGTAGAGTAAACCATTATGCTGGTTGATAATGTTTAATCGGGGGTTACACCTGGGAAAGTGATGCTACAGTACGTAAGTGCCCACAATTGCACTGTTCACTGAATCCACTGAAATGTTTTGTGATTCAGAGAGTCGGTTGATAAGGGGGGACAGGTGACTTGTGAGACACGTGTTTATGACCCAGCTCTGTAAGCTCTTTAATGGCAAGCCAGCAAGGGGCAATTATCAGTCAGGCCTTGATCTCTTTCGTGTTGATCCCTCAGGAGCGCAGTTTGCTTTGAAGCCCGTCTGCAGCAGGGTGGCTGGGTTCAGGCACTGCAAGCAGGGATGTTTTAAATTTGCTCACTGTGCCTGATTGCAAGAAATGCTGTAAAACAGTTTTGAGGCCATTGGGCATAATGGTTTTTGGTGTTAGCATGTTGTGATTTGTAAGGGCTCGTGAATCTCACCAGTAATTGCTTTTTTGCTCTTTATTAGCCACCGCCTAACAAAAGAAATGTTCTGCATATTGTGTGGCATCAAGGCGTTGTTTTTTTTGCTGTAGAGTTGTTGTTCCAAGCACTTGGGGTTTTCTGAACAACAGTACAGGCTGATTATTTTAAAGAAGGTTTAGAAAGTTATAAGAGATTGTTAGTCCTTTTAGCATTTTAAAAATATGCCTAATATTAACTCATATTAAGTCTTCTAGCATGACTCATCTTTGCAAATTCTTGTAAGTGCAATTTGAATTAGTCAGGAAGATCTTATAATATGCAATTTTAATAAATATATTTTTTTATTAATAAAATGTATTTAATACACATATTCTGTATTTAAAATAATTAAACTTAATGCCAAAAATTGAATATTGGAAACAATAATCAATAATTAAATCGAGACTGAATCTTTCCGAAATTAGTTAGGTGACCCACTAAAAACTTCCCAACACTAATTTTTAAATTCAAATTATGCTGCCATCATTTGCATTATCATGTTAGCTTTTGCTGTGTTGGACATGTCATGCCTGTACTTCAGGATGTCTTTGGCTTGTCAGGGGTTTTGACTAGTAGTAATCAGTAGCTGATTAGGAATGGGGTGTTTAAACTAGGGTTTATTTTTCATGAAGAGTGCATCTCGCTTATACAGCTGGGCGTGTGTGTTAATTTTACCTGACTAACTTTTAGAAATGATCTTTGATGAATATTGATATTTTCATTTCTTAGTGAAGTGAAAATGTCTTATCAGTACTTTTCTTAGTATGAAGGTAAGGATAAGAATTAACAAGAACAATTTAAGATTCCCCCTGGGCATCCTGGACGTCAAATATGGTCCTTGAAATCGATATAATAATTTGCTTATGTCCCTCTGTCCGGAACGCTCTCTGAACTTGAATAACTCAAAGACTAAACAAGCTTTTGACCTGGTTCCTTTTGCAATAGGTTTTATTTAGTAGTAAAATTGAGAGGGGGGAAGAAAACAATTTGTAGTACAGACTGTACTCGGTAAGTTCGAAAGATGCTGAGCGTTTTTACCTTTGTCTTCAACGTCTGCATGTCGGAGGAGCTCAAAGTTTTGTCATCTTAAGAACAATTGATGGAGTTGTTTGTTCAACATTTCGTGGAGCAGCTTGCCGATTGAATTTACTCGATGACGGAGAATGGCTCAAGTGTTGATGAGAAGCAGCTACTGTTCAGATGCCGGCTCAGCTTCAATAAACTTTTGCCCTGATCTGCGTTTTTAATCGACCAAGGGATCCTTTGGTTTTATGGGAACAGCTTCCGGATGATATGAGGGAAGAGATTACGGCCGAGATTTCACCGAGCAAATATCCAGAAATGGAGGATTGCAAGACGTTGAGGAAATTTGGAAAATTCATGCCTCCAATTGTGCATCCCCTGGTTTACCAGATCCAGGACCAATCATGAATTCCCAGCACGACCGCAACACAGGGACAGAAGCTCAAAAGGCAGTAGAAAGGATTAGATGTCTTAATGAAATGCAGCGATCTGCTTTCGAAAAACATTTTAGCTGCTATCGAAAACAGAACAGCAGAGAGTCATTTCTTTTTTTTGGATGGAACAGGAGGATCTGGAAAAACTTATTTGTACAGCACACTCATGACGTACTTAAGAAGGAACAGTCTAAGTGTCCTTCCATTTGCAGCCACTGGAATTGCAGGACATTTTGAAAGGAGAAATCACAGCACACACTGGATTCAAATGACCAGTTCCGATCTTCGAAACTTCTGTATCCAGCATGAAGATGAACTCATTGGAAGCTCAAAAATTAAGGAATTCTTGCTTGCTTATCATTGATGAAGCATCCATGTGATCACATCCTCTTAGATGCATCGATTTCCTGTTAAAATTAGTCATGAAGGATGATCGCCCATTTGGTGGTAAGGTATTACTGCTGGGAGGAGACTTCCGACAGACAACAAATGTAGTGCCAAGAGGATCTAATACTTATGTCATAAGTATGCTTACCGTTATGGAGGTATGTAGAAGGAATACGCCTCACATTAAACATGTGTTCTTTAGGACAAGAAGCTTTCAATGATTGGATTCTTTCGATTGGAGATGGCCAAATAAGCAACAGTGCTGTTCTTGATGAAACTTTGATTGAAATTCGCTGCAGTCAATGGGAGTGAAGTTGGTGTCAACAGCTTAGAATCAATTTCAGAGCTCTCCAGCAAAATCATTTTAACTCCCAAGAACAATGATGCCTTATTGCTAAATCATAAGGTCTTACAGCTTATTTCTGGAGAATCCAAGCACTATTGAAGTGTGGGTACCATTTTGACACTATTAAACTCCCCAACTGAATGAGTAAACACCTTCTGGTATGCCTCCTCATAAACTAAACCACAAAGTCGGAGCTATCATGATGCTTATCAGAAATCTAAATCTGAAAAAAATGACTGCTTAATGGAACCAAATTGATTGTGAAGACACTACGTTTACATTTCATTGATGCTGAGATTTTAACTGGAAGCAACACAGGAGAAAGAGTTTTCATCCCGAGAATTGATTTAGCCCCCAGTGAAACTAACTTGCCTTTTACTTTGAAGAGAAGACAATTTCCTATAATCTTAGCTTTTGTCATCACAATCAACAAATCTCAAGGTCAGACTTTCAATAAAGTTGGCATTTACTGGAACCAGTTTTTGCTCATGGACAACTTTACGTAGCAGTTTCCAGGTCTAGAGATGAAAACGAGTTGAAAATCCTCATAGCTAATGCAGACAATCGGAAAACTTCTACAAGACAACAGAACTTTTACCAAAAATGTTGTACTCAAAAATTTTTTTGTAATTTGTTTGTCATTTATTGTCATTTATTTTAAAGGACGATATAGTCATACATGTAAAAAAATATTACATTGAAATTTTTAGTCATTTTTTAAAATATATTTTATGACCTAAATCCATCCCACTGAAACCTTAGCTAGCAGCGAAGGGAGCTGAGGGAGAGGTTTTTGTAATTACTTTGATATTTATCTTTAATTATTCTCTGAAATGGTTTTGGCAAAATATTCGCCACGGGTACACTACTTTCTTACATATTATGCTCCTGACTTTCTGTGTTGAGTTTGCATGGTTTCTTCATTTTTGCTGAGTGTTTTGGTTTCCTCCCAGCTCCTAGACATGCAGGTTAGTTTTAATAATAATAATAATAATAATAATTGCTTACACTTATATAGCGCTTTTCTGGACACTCCACTTAAAGCACTTTACAGGTAATGGGGATCCCCTCCCCTACCACCAATGAATGATTGAATGATTGCTTTAAATTGTGGGTTGTGGGGTGCCAGGAGATTTTATCTTGGGTTGTACCAGGAAGCACTGGCAATGGGACTGAAGAGAAATGCAACTAAAATTAAAAATTAGTAGACTCTCTCACAGTTTCAAAAACAAGAAGAATTATACTTACTTTTAAGAAAGAAAATGTCATTCCTTAACCTACCTTCAGTTTACTAGGTGATTTTTAAAGAAAAGCTCAGATCTCTATCCACAGGATCTGTGTCAACTCCAGCAGGATTAAAAGAAATTCTTTTAAATGTAGTATAAATAGAATGATATGTGTGCTACATGGGTCCTTGGGGCTCTGTCCACGTTGCTCGAGTGTAGCAGGGCAGCTCGTGCTCTTTTTCATTTTTTTAAAGTTATGCAAAGTAATTTGGTTTGAATAATTTCACAACCATAACTCGTGTGCTTCGTGCATCTTTAGGCCAAAATGAAAATGATTTTAGATTACATTTAATTTGCAGTTGGTATTTTAGTACAACAGTTGTAAGAACAGGTCTGTCGAGAGCTGTGGGAACCTGTGAAGAAAGTGTTTTTTCCACCTCTATAAATAGTTGTGTAATTCAAGAGCTGATAAACTCTTAAGAAGCCGTCCTGTTACACATACTTAAATATTTCTGTTAACAGGCACAATACTAGAGATATCTATTTTAAAATCTTTACTTAATGTTTTTTACATATTTTTAAATAACGTATTTAAAATTGAATAGGGCAGTATTTCTGCGTTTCTAGCATGTAATGGAATCTATTATTAATACACAGATTCATATGAAGAATATTATGGATTTAACAGAGAAAGAACACAGAGTATCGAAGGGAGAAAATGAAGTGGACCAGACATGAAATCTCAGTCCCTAGCAAACGAAAGAGAGTTGACAAAAAAAGGTTTCTGAATGACAGGGAAAACTTGAGGGAAAGAGACGAAATAAATAGTTTAAAAGAAGGTTTAGTGAGGAGGACAAAGCCAAGCTTTATGGACATGCTACCAGCTTGCAGAGACAATGAGGTAGGTCGGCCTACATGAACTGTAGCAGATAAGACAGTTTTGGTGCTCTTTATAGGGGGAAAAAAAACACAAGGAACATCTGCATTAAATGAAAATGCTGAATAAAATTACTGAAACCGGTAACAGCAATGTATTAAAAGCTAGCGTTAAGTAATGATTATTTCCAAATGACCTCTCTTTCTCTCATTTGTTTTCTTTGGGCTTTTTAGAGTGTTCTGAATTCGGGTTTCCTTTTATGTCTTGTTCCATGTGGATGTCTGGTTTTGTCTAGACCTGATTTTTCAGATCGGTCTTATCTCGTACTATACCAGAATGTTTTACTAGTGTCCATTACATGCTTCGATATGAATAAACAGATTCAGATACCCATCCAGCATCTGTTGTGTGCTTCCTGTTGTGTTAGTACCTGTTGTTTTCTGAGTTTGCAGGACGCTTTCCAAGGTCGCCAGCGAAGGTAAGACACGTAAATGACACTGAATGTCTGAGTTACTTTACTGAGGAACCCGTATTACTTTAGTTCATGTAAATTTCTGAGACCAGTTGATAGACAGGTGTAACTCTGTGATAACTGACATGCTGGATTAACCAGTATCCCTCATTTCCCCCTCAGTACTGGAAAAGAAAATCGTACTGTGTTTATTTATATTGCAGATTTCAAAGATTTTTTAAAATAAATACATTTTTATTGAAACATGCCTCATTTATTACATTCAGATTTGGTATCCTCAGATGAGCAGAGGCGTTTGTGACCTGAGTGAAATTTCTGTTTGGATTTTAATACAAACTGCTGCTGTGTTTTTGTGAAGCCACCTCTGTCATGTACTGTATCACCTCATAAAATACCAGCCAGCACTATCATACTGTAATTAAACAGATTTGTAAATTAATTAATTTATACTTTTAATTGTAAATCCTGATGAAGTGTTAAAATTAAACTCAACAACTCCTAACTGTATCAACAGAATTAAAAAAAAAAAGTCTTAATGCTAGAGTTTTAGATTCCTCGGTCCTGGGTGTGTTCCCTGTTGTAGAAATACAGCTGCATCCCTATTTTGTTTGTTTTCATGTGTCGCACAAAATGATATTTGAAGGGAGAAGATAAAGACCTCAAGCCGATTTAAAAATAATTAAATTACATGTGTTTTTGTTGTCAGGTGGAGTTGACAATCTCAGCTATGAATGAGACAGTAGTGCCACCTGGTTATGGCCATTTCCTTTGTTTTCATACCACGTGTCACAGGTGCTTGTTATTGTCTGGAGCTGAATTTTAGATTGAATTATAAAAGAGTAGTGGGATCTGTCTGAAGCAGTACATGTACCACAGAGCACTTGTGGGATTCCGTTTGGCTCTAGAGTGTCATTTGTATTACCGTCTGCAGTGTGCACTGGGAATGACAGAGTGCACGTGCAAACAGTGAAAGGGAATCTGTAGTAAAAGTGATCGCAGGATCCCCGAAATGTGAAGGCGAGTCTGTCTGATTTGTTTTTCTTTTTGTGTTTTCAGGATTGACTGTGTTTGAGGCAGGCGCAAAGAAAACTGAGAAGAGGAAAAAAGTAAAAGGGAGCGATGCCTCCAACATTGATGGCTTTCTGGGGCCGTGGGCAAAATACGTGGATGAAAAAGACGTAGCCAAACCATCAGAAGTAAGTGTGTCCCATCACCAACCATGAAACAGTGGTCCACTGTGTGCCTCTTAATGCTTCACGCTATGTTTCAGAACCGAAAAGTCGCTGTAGCCATTTTTTTTCCTAAAACAGGAAGTCAGATATAATTCTATTTTTTATGTGAAGCTTTTGAAAAGTATATGAATTCAAATGTAAAACATACTCCATTATTGCAAAACATTTCGATGTCAAATTAGTGGAGTGGATCTGCCTTAAGTCATCGTTTGGTCACTCATTAATTGTTTGGATTTTGTTCCAGTTTCTGAGAAAAATAAAACCAGTTCTCAACACAGAATTGTAGAAGATTCTGGGAAATTGTGAAGGATTCTCCAGTAATAATGGGGGTCTTGTGGGACTGAGCAGTTTCAGTTTTTGATGACGTTTGGTTTGCAGTCGGCACTTGGTGTCTACTCAGTCTTTTATCAGTGTGAGGATTGCAGTGTGAAAAGTTCCAACTCACCCGATGGTTTTTGTGTAACTTGCTTGCTGAGCCTCGGAATGCGATGCTCGTTGTGGTTGCCAACAAGTGATTAAATCTAATTTCTGCCATATAAATTACGTTTTTTTTTCAGAACTCCCAAGTAGCGCAAACAGCAAAAGCACTCTCTCTGGGCTCATGTGGAGCTCCAGGGCCAAGACGTCTCTCGTTGAAACCTGGATTGTAGAGCTAGCTATTTGTAAATGAGACTGGACAGAAAACTGTGATGAATTAGTAGAGCACTGTTGGGGGACTCCCACTTACAGTCAGCTGGTAATACACTAGGAGGTGCAATGGGAAGTAACAGGCGTGGCTCTGCACTCTTGGCCAGGGAGTTGTGAGTTCACATCCCAGGTGAGGGTGCTTACACTTGAACAAAGTACATTACTTAGATCCCCCTCATGGGGAATCACTGATATGGATAAATGTCAGCCAAATAAAGAATTAATATTCAACGCACATTCATGAAGTGTTACAGGACACTGCAAAGTGTTATGTAGCAATACACAAGTGGAGTTTACCATGGGCCAGGTTTGCAATGACTTCAGTAAGAGAAGTGCCTCCTCTCCCACTTCTTTTTAAAAACTGTGCGGTTCACAGTGTGTCAAATGGTAAACGGCTCAGCAGGGAGGGGTGTCACAAGGGTGTCTCGCAAGTGAAACGAGACCTGCTGCCAGAGTGCCGCAGCTTAAATGATCAACCAGTTGAGTTTGTATTTTGTTACGGCGTTTAACAAGCACAGTTGTGTTTTTGTGTGTGATTTTCGTCGGGTGTCGTTTGTCTGAAAATCCAGTGAAGTGCAGGAATATTTGATGCAGACGAGTAAATGAAAACACACGTGAATTAAAATGCATAGCCATCTTATTTCATGCGCAGGCTCTGATCAAGTTTCATTTGGGTTGGGATAGAAATGTCTGTCGTTAACAGTAAAAATTGACTGAGAGGCCATGAATTTGAGCTTCACTGTTTTTATCTGTAGGACTGTTACATCCAGCACCTTCCAAACTGAAGATGCTAAGGAAAAGAAACTGTCTACTGTGTGCTTTTAATTTATAAAAAGACAGTGCCTACAGAACTGTTAATCTTGAAGCCATACCAAGTTGCAGCAGAAACAGGCATGTTGATCAATATATACACTTCTAAGAACTCATTTCCATGCACAGTCCTTCAGAGGGAAGAGCCAGCTCCAGTTAGCATAAAACGTGCACTAAGGAGCTAAATTCATTTAGAAACAAAAATCCCAACCATGCTCTCGTTGGTTTCTCAGGTTATTAGTGATTCGTCTTCAGACGACATTCAAAGGCCAAATGCTTGTACAATGAGCAAAGAAAACACAAATGAATTCTAAAGGGGAAAATTTGTTTCCAGTGCTTTTTCTTTGAAGTGTTGAGCATTGTATCTAAGAGTTTGGAATATGTTTTGAAGAAAAATGTATTTGCTCATTAGTAAAATTGTGTTAATCATCTCATTACATTTTGGCTAAATGTTGTAGAGATGTTGCCATTATGTCTTTGTAGATGCAACAATTACGAGACTTCACTTTAAAAACTATACTTAAGTGTTTTTTCCCCTTTTAAACATTTTGTTATATACTCATTAAGGCAAATCCTGTAATGTGACCATAAACCCTTTGGGGTCTAAATGATTCTTGCAACTAACACTGGATGGCACTATCTCCTCAGATAGTTAGCAGGGGTAGAGTCTCTCGCCTTTGCCAGTCTTTACAGTAGCTTTTCAGGGCAAAGTTTATTCAGTTACTTGCTTTATTTCTCCTTTCATACATAATAAACTTTTTGCTTTTAATAATTTTTGCTTGGAAATGGCATGAAGAAATATTTTGGAAAAGTTGCGTAGATCCAGGTTCTGTTTCTAATGGGCACACATGATGGGGAGAGCTGTCAGAAACATTTCCCAAGAAAATAGACAGTTGGATGAAGTGTGTGATAGGAGGTTATTCAAAACTGGTTTCAGAAGCAGCTGATAATTAAAATTTGAACTGGACGGTCATGGGCTTGAAAAAAGGAAAGCCATCTCCTGTATGTGTAAAAGAATAGTGTTAATAGTCAGCAAATATCCGCTGGTACAACACGTCCTGCAAGGCTGATGTCCTGTCAATAATCCTTTCTAAAAGTGGGAATAGACCTGTGCATTGAAAGAAAAGAGCTCATGAGCTTCTGTTGAGTTTTTCACATGTTAGGAGAGATGAGTCCATCGAGCAGATTTTAAGGAATTGAATGAAAGATCTGTTTTTCAATGTTTATTCATGCAAAGACTAACAATTGTTGTTTTTTTTCCTTAGGAAGAACAGAAGGAACTGGATGAGATAACAGCCAAGAGACAGAAGAAAGGCAAACATGAGGAGGAGGCACCTGCAGACGAAAAGACAATCCTTCACGGTAAGAAAGGATGTCCTGCTTCCAACCCTGCATGGCAAATGCTAATTCCACAGTATCTGTGGCTGCAGTCACACTCACAGTGTGAATTTGCTACACCATTAGTTCAGAATGGCTGACAGCAGAGAGGACATTTTCTTTCATTGTAAGACTGGTGAGTCAGGGTGGGAGAATAATTGCAATTTATACAGGGGCATAAATTACACATTTTAAATATGCGTAATAATTCTGGATGATGGATGACAATATCTTTACCCAATGGTGACTTTTTGTTAGAAATAATGCATTTGCAAAATGCCAAAATTGCTGAATTGAGCAGGTTTGCACTCACTGAATTTTTAGTTTTGGAAATTTTCACTAAATACACTTCAGCAGCTAAAACATTCATTGTTGGTTTTTCTGTGATTATGGATAACCTGGTATTGAGAAGCATGGGTTACAAGTACACCTTCATTTGTGGTTGAGGTTGGGTACTGAGTCCAGGTAGTTCAGAATGTCTGTCCTCACTCGTTAGTTTTTGCCTGGGGAGGCTGCAGCTGTGAGGCAAACGTCAGACGTAACCAGCAGCCTCTGAAAATTAACATATTACAGACGTCTGAAGGAGCCGGCCTTAGTAACTGCCAGGAACAGCTTTAAAGCTGATACATGTGCCTTAAGGGAAAAGACCCTGCTGAGAAAAAGGCAAATCACAACTTTAAGTCATGATTTTAAAAAATAATTTTACAGCACATAGTCTTAGAGCTTCCCGTCTTTAATATAGTTTTTATTTCTTATTTTAGTTCTAATGCTTGGCTTTGCAGAAAGCACCCCTGAGACTTCCCTTCTTGTATCTATGTAGTTTCTGCCTACATGCACCTACAGAAACTACAGATCATCTTGCAGTTAACCAATACAAAGCTATTTTCGTTTTACGATGATAGTTTTGTATAGGATTCACTCATTTTCAGTGATTCCTGTTGAACGCGTGAAGTGAAATTTGTAACAAAATTATCAAAGGAACGTGTAGAATATTCTGTGCCACCATGTCATACATAACTGTATCTCTGTAACTCTCTTGTATAAGATATTTGAAAAGTTGTGATATTAAAGAAAAATGACAGCAGTCAGTGTTATAGAACATGTGTTTATCCATATGGTAATATTGTGTAATAGAAGGTGTATTCCTTTTTCTGTTTTCTTTTGTTGTTCCTTCAGTCAAAGACATGTACGACTACCAGGGAAGGTCATACCTTCATGTCCCCCAGGATGTTGGCATCAACCTGCGCTCTGCTGATGTCCCAGAGAAATGCTACTTACCCAAAAAGCAGATTCACGTCTGGTCTGGGCACACAAAGGTGGGGCTGCTCCTTTTTAATGCCTTAACCACTTAACAGGAATCTGTTTCTGAAGAGAGTCCTTGCAGTAACACATGGTAGGTCTCTTCATTGAGGCATGCAGAACACCCACACACTAAAGCTTTTAAAGCCTTCAATTTATTGCCTACAGTAGTTTCATATTATAGGATATTGTTGTATTTTAGAACTTATAGACTCGTGATGAAGCTGACACTCTGGCTCCTTTCAAGAAATGGCTAGATAAGGAACATCCTTGTATCACGCAACCAGATGGGTTTATTAGGCTGAATGGCCTCCTTTCTTTTATAGCCTTCTGTGTTCTTGAAATTGTGAATTTCCCAGCCGCAGAATTTAATTGTGGTTACATCACAATGTCATCAAACTTGTTTTGGTTGTTGAATCCTTCCTCATGACTTTATAACGCACAATACTGCAATTATTAACAATATTTTTTAGAGCAGCCTGGGTCCTGGGGAACTGCTGTATTTCCCAACTTTTGTAGGTCTGTCTTCTGTTATAGACCAAATATACGATAAAAGAGCAAAATAAGATTAATGATATTATATGTGCAAAGGTTCAAACAAACAAACATTTTAAAAACTCTGAAAATACACATTCTATTGGAGTACTTGCTTTGTACTTAATTAACATTTTTTTTCCTGGTAACATATTCATATTATTTATCATGCAATCAACAGCAGTGCCTTAGCCCCATCTTGTCAGATCTTAGAAGCAAATCAAAGCTTAGCCTGGTTAGTACTGGGACTAGAGCCCTCCATGGAAAACCAGGTTGCTCTGTGAGTGGTGTTGGTAAACGAGTAGGTGGCACTCCTCCCTCTGGACCAGGCTTCCAAGCCAGCATGATGATATTGTGGATGTGCTCTAGTGCCATCCTTCAAACAAGATGTTAAACAGAAGGTCTGCCCACAGACTACTTTCATTAAAGGTCTCATGGCACTGTTTGAAATGGAAATGGAGTTTGGATTGTGTTGAGGAATTTTGTGGTAGTACGTCTTGGAACATCTAACAACATTTAGTTTTCTGGGTCTTAGCTTTTCTTGCTGTGCACTCCAGTATATGAATATCTATTGCATATTTAGTTAATCTATACTTGGCAGCGTCCTTCTTGCTTGATATAAACAGTCTTTGAGATGTTGCTTGAGCTCCCAAAAAGTGGGTTCCAAGATCTTTTGAAGGGAATTAATTCCACTTAATAATCTTGCCAGTGGGAATTTTTCCCTGGCATCTCAACTGGTTTCAGCTCCGTGCCCCCTTCCAGCAACAGACTGCAGATTAATGAATCCAGGCTGTTTGATCTTTCAGTCTGGCACAGGCTGCTCCAGCCGTGCATGGTAGACGGCAGGTTAAATAAAGACTGACTGCAGCATGAAAATCGGTAGAATAAGGCATGGGGAAAATAAGAAACATACCTGGTCACATCCTTCTCTCTTGCAGAATATAATGTACCTTTGGTAGGAGGTCATCACATCTTTATGATATGTTATTGCTTTCATATTCAACCTATTTTCAGATGTTTCGTTTTAGTTTATAAAAGTAAAAGGTTTGCTGTGCAAAACGTATAGCAAGACCTTGGGAAGAGCGGGGTCATCCGAATGCCTCTTGCGCTGCCCTAACTCAACAGAGCAGACTTAATTGTGGCCATTTGGAGGTATACATATCATGGGCTATTCCGAACCTGACAACCACTTTTCCAAAAGACGTAAGAGGATGCTTATCAAGCTATTCTGCAATGACTGTGAGGTACAGATTTAGCAAGCAGCCCCATTTGGAGTTGAGGAAAAGTGAATGTTCGCCTTCTTATATTCATGGTATGAGGGATAATTATGGGCCAAAGCAGGGAGATAGCAAGGAAGGAAGTATCCTAAGTAAGGTTTAATTAAACTTAGGCACCCTTTTCTGCTAGCGTTGGACTTTAAACAATATTATAGCAAGAAATACAATCAAGTGATAACGGATCCCATTAAGGCATGTAATTTGCTGGTAGAATAATATTTCCTTATTGCATTCATCCTTAGTAAGGGTAAAAAGGACCCCCCTTCTGCCTCTGCTGCTGTTTCATTCCGTGAGCAATTCTAGCTTATCTTTGAAAAACCTGACCTTAGCACTGGCTAAATGTACGCCTTGATAGATAGCTGGCTGGCTGTTACAGATATAAATGTGACCAAGACAGAAGATGTCTCAATTGTGTTAGCACAATCCTTGTTGCATAAATTGGTTCATTCCAGCTCCACTAATATGCTGTTGGTTCTCCTGCCAGGGTGTCAGTGCCATCAGGTTGTTTCCCACTTCTGGTCATCTGTTGCTGTCTTGCTCAATGGACTGCAAAATCAAGGTATGTTTGATGTATTGCAAATTAAAAGTTCTATTTCTCCTTTTCATCACTGTCTGTTATTGCTTTTAAAGCAATAAAGTCCCTATAGTGTTCTAACTCTCTTGCACTCCTTGTCATCCTGTTTTTATTATGGGGAACATAATTTTATTTAAGAAAATGTGTTGCTGGTAATTAAAAAGTATTAACCCAGATCTTATTAAAGAACACTCTATCCTACCTTTGATCAAAAAGCTTTTCAGACACAAAGTCCGTCGCATCTATTCTCTCAGAGTGATAATTGATCTTCCCTTGCATTCTGGACTTGCCCAGAATTAACGTGGGTGCATTTCATTTAGACTGAAGGACAGCTGGGCAGATTGCCACTGGCTGCTCAGAAAATTCCACACCCAAAAATTAGGAACCTTATCTCACGGATTGTGTTTTTCAGGAATTACACCTGGATGTCTCTGCACATTTTCTGTTTGCACTACTTTTTGTTAATGTTTGTTGCCGAAATAGCAACAAGAGTGCCAAAAGATTCCTAAGATGAAGTACCTTTAGTAGTTTTTCTAACCAGCAAACTCTTTGCCATTACTTTATTGTCAGGTTTAATGAGGTGCCCTTGCTGGTGACTTATGTTGAAAATGTTGAATGTTGAAAACATTTGTTTTAAAAGCTGAAATACTGTAGTCCATGTTTTTGAACACTGTACCTTTATTACAACCATAATGAATGCGTTTATTCCACCCATATTAGAAATGTAACTAAAACTCGTCATCCTCATCACTGCCTACCTCACGAATCTGTAAAGTGAGAATGTTCGGCTTTGAGTACTGAAATGATGGGACACTACAGAAAACAATGCAATTTTGATTTCATTACTAAAATCTTTCTTTTATTTAGTTGTGGGAGGTGTACAATGAAAGAAGGTGTTTCCGAACATTTATCGGTAAGTATTCCCAATTTTACTGGATCCAATGGTCATTAGTCTAAAGATTGATAGCCTTCTAATCATATAAGTTAGTGTGACATAAAAGTAGCTGCAAAAAAGTGAATGGTGAATTTACATAGATTGATGTCCAATAAATACAGCACATTCATGTTTTCAATAAGAGCCCCAAGAATGCTGTGCAGCACTAGAAAGATATAATTGTTGGGGAGACAAAGCAACTGTAGCTTTTCCTTGTGATTATTCATTTTAATTTCTTTGTATATAGTTTCTATCAATCACAGCGTCTTCGTTTTTCTTCTTGAAAATATAGATCAGCTTTGTATTGGGTTGATATAGTAGATCTTTAAAGCTGAAGCTTCATCAGTAGTTTGTCTGGAGGGGACTGACATAATCCATACAAATTAACAATATAGGGAATAAGGGGATTGCATTGAACAGTGATAGGATCATTACAGGGAAATTGATCTGTTGGAGACAAAACATGGCAATCCCAGGCCAACGAAAAAAAAGCTGTGTGTAAAGCATGTAATCCCCAAAAATGTATTACATGTATTAAAAAATGTAATGTATTAAAATGTATTACATTTACATTTATGTCAAAATAAAGGTCCTGCCTTTGAATCTATTATTTTGAGCTGTCTCATGGTCAGATATAAAGTGCAGTCCGTAAGTATTTGGACAGTGACACAATTTGTAGTTTTTTTTGGCTCTGTACTCCAGCACATTGGATTTGAAACGAAACCATGACTATGAGGTTAAAGTGCAGAACGTTGGCTTTAAATGGGGGGAATATGTATAAAAGGGGCTGCGATTCCTTTATGGTTCATCCAATAAAGACGTAAACACCCTCGAATTAAAGCTGACATTCTGCACTTTAATCTCATAGTCATTGTTTCATTTCAAATCCAACGTGCTGGAGTACAGAGCCAAAACAGCACAAATTGTGTCACTGTCCAAATACTTCTGGACTGCACTGTACAGTGCCTTGCGAAAGTATTCGGCCCCCTTGAACTTTTCAACCTTTTGCCACATTTCAGGCTTCAAACATAAAGATATACATTTTTTATTTTATGTGAAGAATCACCAACAAGTGGGACACAATTGTGAAGTGGAACGAAATCTATTGGATTTTTGAAACTTTTTTAACTAATAAAAAAATGAAAAGTGGGGCGTGCAAAATTATTCGGCCCCTTTACTTTCAGTGCAGCAAACTCACTCCAGAAGTTCAGCGAGGATCTCTGAATGATCCAATGTTGTCCTAAATGACTGATGGTGATAAATAGAATCCACCTGTGTGTAATCAAGTCTCTGTATAAATGCACCTGCTCTGTGATAGTCTCAAGGTTCTGTTGAAAGCGCAGAGAGCATCATGAAGACCAAGGAACACACCAGGCAGGTCCGTAATACTGTTGTGGAGAAGTTTAAAGCCGGATTTGGATACAAAAAGATTTCCCAAACTTCAAACATCCCAAGGAGCACTGTGCAAGCGATCATCTTGAAATGGAAGGAGTATCAGACCACTGCAAATCTACCAAGACCTGGCCGTCCCTCTAAACTTTCAGCTCAGACAAGGAGAAGACTGATCAGAGATGCAGCCAAGAGGCCCATGATCACTCTGGATGAACTGCAGAGAACTACAGCTGAGGTGGGAGAGTCTGTCCATAGGACAACAATCAGTCTTACACTGCACAAATCTGGCCTTTATGGAAGACTGGCAAGAAGAAAGCCATTTCTCAAAGATATCCATAAAAAGTCTCGTCTAAAGTTTGCCACAAGCCACCTGGGAGACACCCCAAACATGTGGAAGAAGGTGCTCTGGTCAGATGAAAACAAAATCGAACTTTTTGGCCACAATGCAAAACGATATGTTTGGCGTAAAAGCAACACAGCTCATCACCCTCAACACACCATCCCCACTGTCAAACTTGGTGGTGGCAGCATCATGGTTTGGGCCTGCTTTTCTTCAGCAGGGACAGGGAAGATGGTTAAAATTGAGGGGAAGATGGATGCAGCCAAATACAGGACCATTCTGGATGAAAACCTGTTGGAGTCTGCAAAAGACCTGAAACTGGGACGGAGATTTATCTTCCAACAAGACAATGATCCCAAACATACAGCAAAATCTACAAAGGAATGGTTCACAAATAAACGTATCCAGGTGTTTGAATGGCCAAGTCAAAGTCCAGACCTGAATCCAATCGAGAATCTGTGGAAAGAGCTGAAAACTGCTGTTCACAAACGCTCTCCATCCAACCTCACTGAGCTCGAGCTGTTTTGCAAGGAAGAATGGGCAAGAATTTCAGTCTCTCGATGTGCAAAACTGATAGAGACATACCCCAAGCGACTTGCAGCTGTAATCGCAGCAAAAGGTGGCTCTACAAAGTATTAACGCAAGGGGGCCGAATAATTTTGCACGCCCCACTTTTCATTTTTTTATTAGTTAAAAAAGTTTCAAAAATCCAATAGATTTCGTTCCACTTCACAATTGTGTCCCACTTGTTGGTGATTCTTCACATAAAATAAAAAAATTATATCTTTATGTTTGAAGCCTGAAATGTGGCAAAAGGTTGAAAAGTTCAAGGGGGCCGAATACTTTCGCAAGGCACTGTATATTACTCTACCAGTGACTGGGGTCAATTTAAAGTTTCATTGACTGGGAATACAAATACAGCCCCTGATATCTTCATTAAAAGTAATGCTTTTTTCTTCACCGCTGAAGAACAGTTTTCTTTGGTGCAACTCAGCTTTTTGCCAAAATCAAGTGTAGAACTAAGCACCAGTCTTTCAATCACAGAGATTATCCAAGCTTCTTGTTACTTAGATAGGCCGCTGGTTGGAGTTACACCGAGACATCTGAGAAGGTTGCTTTAATATGACAAGACTCTGCCTTCCTATTGACCTTTCTTACTCTAGAAAGCAGCAATTATATGCAAGTTTTAAAAATGCAGCTCTGGTTTTCCAGGAAGTGTCATTTACAAAAGTTTCAGTTTGCAAATTTCAATGCTCGAAGCCTAAAAGCTGTTGGTAGCTTTAAGAATGCAGGGCTTAACATTTGAGTGTTTGAAAAGCCTGAACCGTTTAATTTGTTTTTGTACCTTCAATTAGTATGTTTGTGAATGTTAGTCAGTTTAACAGCCTGCAATCCTTTGCCAATAATTAACATCAAGTGCTACATTACTAAATGAGCTTTGGCATAAAATTTACTTATTGGTGCTTATGTCTAATTAACCACAGGATGTTTACAAATGGCATTCAATATGCTATTAACAGTTTTTAAGTTTCTTTATTCAATTTTAGTGCTGTGGCAAAAAACCAAAGCATAGGAATTTTATTTTTCAAGATTTGTATTCGGATTTCCATTCATTTGCAAACCACTCACCTCATTATTTTTAAGTCATTTAAAAGCAGTATTCAGATAATAAGGATAAGTGGTGGTGACCTTACTTTCCCCCCTAGACTGGTTGAAAACCAAAGCAAAAGAAGATGCAGCAACTTTTAAGTATTTAATAATAATAATAATCCTAAAAATATACATATGTAGTAAGTTACATACAACTTTAATTTTGCTTATTTGTGTAGTTTTTGTTGCATTAGTTTTGTGATGAACTGTCACTCAGAGTCTTGGGTCTTTATTCTAATAACCATTATTATCTTCCTCCAGCTTTTTAAATTTCTTTTTTTTTTTTGTTTTTCACAGGTCATAGTAAAGCTGTACGTGATATCTGCTTCAATAATGCCGGCACACAGTTCCTTAGTGCAGCATATGACCGGTATCTCAAACTTTGGGACACAGAAACAGGTTAGTGTGGCACTGTTAATTTCACCGATCATTTAGACTTTGGCCAGAGCTCCTTGATACTGTTACATGCACCAGCGCAATGCATGAGCTAGTTTGGGTGAATTTCTTTAAGCTTTGCAAAATATTTAAAAAATAACACTGAAAGGCCACTTCTTATGCTAGTATCTTCTATTTAGGTTCACACAGATGAATTTGAATTTTTAATTTGCAAGTTCACGGTCTTGGCAGTAGCTGAAATTTCCTGTTTTTCGACTCAGAGCTTGAAAGTCTTAAATTTGTGATGTGTCATAATATTTTTTAACATTCTGTGAAACATTTTCAAGAATTTCTACTTATTCCCTGCCAGCCTGCTGCTTAGTGTTCCTGCCTGGCAGCAGAGGGTTATAGACAAAATTATGTAGCTCACTGCTTATTTTTATCCAGACACAATCCCATAGATACCATAAAATATGTCATAAAGAGGTAAGTGACAGCACTGAAGCTTTTTTGCGCTATAGAGTGCTACAGATTGCTACATGCGCTACAGAGTGGACGTGTGTTGAACTATGTGAACTGATAGTTCAAAGAAGAGCTCTCAACTTGTTTTCATCTGGAACAATAGCGAAGATAAATTTTAGGGATATATGTGGGAAAGCAGCAGATAACTTAAGTGTGAAGGCAAAGAAACTTAATTCACCTTATTTAAATTTTTAAGAAATTAAAATATAAAATAAGAAAACTTAACAAATCCTTAGGAATTAGTGTCAGTTTCAACCTGGGGAGTTGGCTGATGAACAGCAGGGTATAAATGACAAGCCCACTGGATAAGAGACAGTGCTGCTAATATACAGTATGTATATGCATATTATTATATATATCAATAATTGTAGAATAGTATATAACAGTTAATATAAAACTTGTTAGTTTGTCTATCCATCATTTCTAACAAGCCACTTATTTCTGGTAAGGGTTGTGATAAGACTATCCTATTAGTCTAGAGTACAATTTTAACAGCAAAAACCTAGTCAGACCTAGTCATGTTTGAAATGTGGGAGGAAAAGCACAGAGAACATGCAAACTTCACTCAAACCCAGCAGCCAGGAGCTGTGAGGCTTGTAGTTTTTGTTTTCAAGATATTTTGTTTGTTGCCAATCTTTTTGCAGGGGTTCTAATGGGAATTGTCTTTGCTCACATCGACATAATCACTTACTTCTCCAGTATAGACAGCTCTCTTGTCTTCATGCCGGTTTATGCCTTCTAACAAAAAAAAAAGTAAACTCCTGGGATCAAGGTTATACATGTTTTTACAGTTAATGCGAAATGTAACACCTGAGTAATCAGAACCTCCCATCAGCCATTTGACCCAATAATTATCACCATGTCAGGTGGCCATGAAACATACTGTATGTGCACAAAATATCCAGAAACAAAGGCTGGAATTCTGAAATTTAGCCTTGTATTTATCTTTTGAAATACAGATTTCAATAGCCCGTGACAAAAATGGCTGATCTGACTTCATTGTCCCAATACTGTATACTGTGTTGATAAAGAAGGGGAAAATATTGAACACACTGAAACACATGGACACGTTTCAACGTGTGGATTCCCGAAGGTCCAGCAAGCACAGGATACACAAAAGGCCTACACCTGGATGGGACACCAAGTGTGTGAGAGACGGTCCTTCCCGTTTAAATTCCTGCTCACGGCAGCCCTCTGAGGGTAAAGACTCAGCGGTCTGTGAAAGAGGGCAGATTTGTGAAGGATGCAAAGTAGCTCATAATTACTGTGAAAGCACTTAAAATTGTGTGCTTTGGATATCAGATGTTTGGAACTAATCTTTGCTTTCACATAGAAAGCACAATTGTACTGAAGGCTGTGAGTACATCTCCTTGGTGGTTCATCTTAAAGAAGTTGGGTTTTTAGTAGTCATGAATTGGTATTTTGTGCAGGTCTGTAAAAACTGTTACTGTGACCTGACCAAGGCTTATCCACTGTGACTGTATAAGTTTACAGTTTAAATTAATAAATACCTTAGTGTGTGTTTATGTGTAGTAAGGCACTCATGGACACTGCATTAGTGCTTCTTGAATTAGCGATGTTATTCATTCATTCTAGGGATACATGTATCTTGTCCATAATTTTTAAGAACATAAGAAAGGTTACAGATGAGAGGAGGTCATTTCCCCCATCTCGCTTTTTTGGTTGTTAGTACCTAATTGATCCAAGGATTTCATACAGCTGTTTCCTGAAAGAAGCCAAAGCACTGACCACAACAACATGGCTGGCTAGTTTATTCTGTACTCCTTCGGGTAAAGAAGCGTCTCTTCTTTTAAATGCACTTCCACGTCGTGCCACTTGTGCCCTCTGGTGCATTTTTCACTGGTCGTTTTTAAGAAATGCAGGGAGCTGACAATGGGTTGACATTGTCAATGCCTTTGAGGATGTGAAAAACTTTTAAAACTAAAAAAAGGTCAGTTCCTTCAGCCTGTCAATGTAGAACATTCCCTTAAGCCCTAGACTATATCTGGTTGTATTTATATTACTGGTTAAAAAGCAAGAACTATTTTTTTTTCCTTTGCTGTGCTTCTCTTAAACTCTTTATGTTGCATAAAGATTGAGATTGCTGTTGCTCTTTCTTGTTCTGTAATAATGCGCTTGTAAAAATCTAAATATTTGTTTTCTTACGGGTGTTTTGGAATTATAATTTGTTTCAGTATTATACACACCAGTAACTTTTGCATAATGGTATTTGGTCAGATTACTCCATAATTAATGTGATGGAACTTTTCTGTGAGATTAATTACTCAGCATGTTGATGGAAACTCTCCAGAGACACGACTGCTGAGTTGAATCACCAGGTGGCAGCAAAAAAAGAAATGTGACTCGAATGGTAGAATTAAATGTGTTGCTTTTAGTATTGCTTGCACATTGACCTATCCACATTGGCTTGAATGCTATGTGTTTTGCTGTGGGTATACGAGGGAGACAGTCAGAGAGTGGCTTTGACACAATCAGCTTTTAATTCTTAACATTTCTGCTTTACAGTTCCATATACAGTCCATAAAGTTCCGATGGCTGTGTGCTAGGAGAAGATTTAAAACACAGGGACAAAAGTAGACTGAGAACATGCAAAGAAAGATTTCTAATATGCAGATCAGGTCTCACATCAGTGGTCTGTGAAACAGCATTGCTGCACTGAATCGTGTTAAACGGGTGCTTTTTTACTGTGGTGATTGATGTTAATGGCTACATTTGTAACTGTTGCTGAATTCATGAGAACAGTTTCTTGTTTTTTTGAGAGTTGGCAATTTAGCAGACCTACTTCTGAAGTTTAAGGCGTCATTTACACAAAATTGGAAAGAGTTGCTTCTTTTCAAGTCCTGTGTGCACCTAATACTCTCATTTAAGTGGATAACCACAAATGCTGCTCCAGTGCATCCAGTAATCATGTTATAAAAATACATTTTAGCTTTCCAATAAAGTGACAATTTGGGAGAATAATTGATTTCTCTCTTACCTGTGCAAGCCTTTTTTCTGTATCTAATGAAATCACAATTTGAGACTGCCAGTATGCCAGTGCAGGACACTCGGTGTCTCTATAAAAAGCCTAGCATCAAAAGAGCCTACCCTGCTCTGCTCAGAGAACACTGGATCTCTCTGACATGCTTATATGGATATGACACTTAATAAGCAATTTATAGCTCTTTCTCTCATAAATGCAAGTCTACTTAATACTTATGGTAAAACTGTAGGGGCACATGGATAAAATCATTGAAATACTAAAAAAGTAAGAACTGACAGGAAATTTATTAAATTTCTCAGGCTGAGCTGCAGTAGAGGGCGTTCTGACATTTTACTGCAAACTCTTCTTATTAGAATGTACCTCTTTCTTAGGATTCAGATCCATACGTACTGTGGGCATTTCGTCACACAGCCTTTGTTCGTGAATGTCATGAAAACCACACTGAACATTTCCAAGTAATACTTATACATGTTGCACTCTTCTTCACTTTTCTGTCCAATCCATCCCACAGCCTTTCATTTTAGGAAGGTATTTTGTTGATAAATGTCAATGTTCAAAATTGAAAAAAATCTGTTGCATCTGCTTTTGAGGAGGAATCTTAAATCATACAGATCAATAATTGCGCTTAATTGTAACTCCAAAGGTGTATTCCTGTAGAGATGCAGATGTGACTGTTGGCTCCTTGAATCTTAAATACATTTATTCCCTAGAGTAATGCTTATTTAATCTTCAACAACATACTATTCATTGCACTTCTTAGAAATAGAAATAAAGGGTTTATTCACAAGAAACCAATACCTGTATCTTCAATATATTAATTTAAAAATGTAAAATTAATGCAAGACTTTCCATGCCAGATGAATCACACTTTCTTTGAGTTTTTTCCTTTACTTTTATGTCTGACTTTTACGCAGAAGTTTCTTGTAATGTAATTAAATTTATTCATGTTTTTATAACTTCTCTTCACTTGCACCTGTGCTGTATTATATTGCGTATCATTGTCTGTTATGGTGAGGCCATTTTAATTATCCTGAATTGCACTATTGGTTTCACTACATTACTATCAGCAGCTCTTTGATCCACCTCTCTTACAATACTCAAGTAAATAGGCAATTAGACTGTATTTAATTTGTAAAGGAGCAAGTAATAGGTTTATTCCATACTGAAAAGAGAAGAAAGAAAACACAACTTTTCGGCTGTGGAGCCTTCTTTGGGTGTGAGAATGACAGGGCAGACAGCAAAGATTAAATAGCACAGGAGAACAAAAGCTGGGAGAGGGGCGAGGAGGCGGCAGAGAGGCCATTCAGGTGATGTGAAGTGAGGAGAGGTGTGAAGTCTAAAGCTGCATGTGAATAGAGAAGATCACATGAAAACAAGTCTGTCAATGAGCGAAGGAGGTAATACTATGGGAGTTAAGAAACCTTTCTTTGAGAACGCAGACGGAGAGATCAGTGTGATCATGGCCGTCTGAGGTGAAATGAGAAACTATGGGCTTGGA